CATACTTAGCAATAAGGATTCTATTCAGCAAAGAAGCAGGATTGGATAACAAACTCCAAGCAAATTTGGCTCTCCAAGAACCGACTTTGTCTACTACTGACATGACACCTTGCCCTCCAAACTTGATCTGTTTACATAAAACTTTCCATTCCACATAATGAATTCCACTACTCTTATCTTGCTTTGTCCAGAGAAAATTCCTACACAGCTTATCTAGATCTCTCAACACCCCCATCGGCACAAGGGAGTGGGTAGAAATAAAAATTGGAATAGATAGGAGTGAGGTTTTAATTAATTGAAGTTTGCCTGCTAAAGTGAGGGAAAGATTACCCCAAACGTTGAGCTTATCAAAAGCTTTCTCCAATACATCTGGAAGTCTGAAGCTTTGAGTCTTCTCATTGCCATCTTAATGCCAAGATAATTCATTTCACCAACTGTTTTAAAGCCAAGGATTTTAGACAGCACTTTGGAGTTATCTCTGTGAACTGCCTCTCTGAAAACCAGAGAGGATTTCTGATCATTTATTTCTTGCTCTGTCCAACTGCTATACTCCTTCAAGTCTTCTTAATTTTCTTAGCATTTCTTCAGTTAGCTTCCGCAAATACAATGATGTCATCTTCATATTGAAGATGGGAAACTTTTTTTGCAATTGGGGCCACCTTAACTCCTATCTTAGCACCATTTTTGTTGAATGCTTTGGTGAGCAATTGGGAACACATGATAAAAAAATATGGGGATAGAGGACATCCCTGCCTAAACCCACATTCAGCCCGAATCCAATTAGTACTAATACCATTAACAATAATGGAATACTTGGTGTCCACCACACACTGGAGAAGGAAGTTCAAAAAAGACCATGGAAAACCATAGAGTTCCAACACCTGTTTCAAGGTTTTCCACCCCATACTATCATATGCTTGCTCCATGTCCACCTTAATGGCCATCAAACCTTTCTTAGCTTTGGAATTTTTGAATTTATGGAAGATTTCTTGTGTGAGCAAGATGTTCTCAGAAATTGATCTCCCCTTGATAAAAGCAACTTGATTTTCTGAAATAATTTTAGGAATACAATTGACAATCATGTTCAATAACATTCTTGCCACTATCTTGTATATAGAATTACATAGACTTATAGGTCTATAATTTGAACGAGTCATAGGATTTTTAAGTTTGGGAATAAGAACCACAACAGTTTCTCTCCATCCATCACACATCAATCTGAAATTAAAAAAAAAGGCAAATAGACTTCCAAACATCAATCTTTATAATGCGCCAATAGCATTTAAAAAATGAATAAGAAATACCATCTATTCCAGGTGAAATATTGCTCTCCAATTGAGATATAACAGTCTCCAACTCCTCAGAAAATTCTGCTTTGAGCAGGTCCCTGTCTACTTCATCAAGAATTATGGAATGTTTTGGCCATCCGGTGAGAAAGCATCTCTTGAATCTCCACTTCTCATGGAAGTAATTTGAAAAAAATTCTTCAATGCATCTTTGATCCTCAGCAGAGCACCTTCAGGATTTTTAATTTGCTTAACAAAGTTACTGTTACATCTAGCAGATGCTACCAAGTGGAAGTATTCTGTGTTGGAGTCACACTCTTTATACCACTTCACTTTATCTCTTTGTCTCCACCAAGAGCTTAGCCTTCCCAAAGTAGAATTCAACTCCTTTACTTTAAATCTTAACAGAGAAATTTTCTCTTCCGAGAAACTTCCGGAACTGGCTTCCTTCTCTTGCAAAGCAATGATCTCAGCCTTCAACTTTTCTTTCAGATTATTGAGGTTTGCATGTTTGGCTCTACTCCAATGAAATAAAGCTTTAAGATCTCTCTTGAATTTAAGATTAAGTTTTTGTACACCATCCCCACCAGCTGATTTCTTCCAAGAATTGGCAACTATTCCTCTAGATGCTGGAAAAGAAGACCAAACTTCTTCAAACTGCAATCTCTTGGATCTTCTATACCCCGTACTGAATATATTGATGGCTATTGGGCAATGATCTGATGCAATTCTTCCAAGATACCGAACTACTGCAGGTTGAATGATCCTCATAGCTGCAGAATTCAATAAACAACGATCTAGCCTTTCAAGAATGTGTGCTCCTCCTTTTTTATTATTAAACCAAGAGTATTAAGGACCTATTATCCCAATGTCATGAAAATCACACCTCTTCATAAACATTTGCATATCTTGAGGCCCTTGAGAGAAAACAAAACTCTTTCCACCTCTCTTCTCCTCTTGAGAAAGAGTGCAATTGAAATCTCCTCCTATGGTGAACGGAATATTGGAATTAGAAAAGGCTTGGAGATCCTCCTAAAGTTGTCTTCTCTTATAAATGTCTTTGCTGCCATAAATAGTGGCAATAAGCCACTCACCTTTATTTTGAATTTTAAACAAACCAATAACCACTTGAGGAGAAGCATGAATAATAGAAAAAGAACAAAAGCTGGACATCCAACAAATTAGAATTCCTCTAGACAAACCTTCGGATGGGACATTAAAGAAATCTCAATTACTACCAACTAATTTGTTAACTTATTCTCTTCGAAAAGATTGAACTTTTGTTTCTACTAGCCCAACATAAAAAACATCAAGATCTTTGACAAACTCCCTTAAGTATCGAGAGGCTTCAATCTTTCTAGCCCCTCTACAATTCCAAAATGAGAGAGACATCATTTGGATTTAAAAATGGGATTACTCCCATTTTTATTCTTCTTAGTACCTTCTCCTTTCCTTTTTTGAAGTAAAATGTTATCTTTTCCCAATGAATTAAGCTCTTTAAGAAGCTTACCTTTACTTTTAACAGATTCATCCATCCTTTCTGTTTCAATAACAGCAAGAACAGATTTGGTACAATGGATTTCTCCTTCTTCTAGATCTCCTTCTTTGTCAACAAAGCCAATAATTCCTTCCACATCAGAAGTGTGACTGCTCAGAACTTTGAACATATTTTTATCTTCAGTTGAATTTTGAACTGTTTGATTACACGGAATCTCATTAACACCAGACAAATTCCTGATATCTTCTACTGCTACACCATTCTTCTTGAAATCAACTTTCAATGTACCATCCTTGTTAGCATCAGAATCTGAAACTTCCTTCTCCACAACTGTAACTTCCTCATCTACTGTTGGAACAAGAGTGTCTTCAATAGTTCTTCCTGGATCCTCTACGATTCCCCTACCAACATTCTCATCAACAGAATGATCTATAGAAGGAGTGGAGGAAGATTTCTGCACAAACAATGTTTTAGTTTTTCTGAAGTTGTTGTTGTTCATATTAACCTTACCCATATCAGGTACTTGCTTCTACCTTCTTCTCATATTTTGGACAAGAATCCATGGCCCATAGATTCTGTCTGAATCAACTTCATGCTGAGATTGAGGGAAATTAAACTGCATTCCCTTTTCCAAGTAATTCACTGGTTCCTTTTGATATGCCACCATATCATCCTTACATTTATCATCTAGATGGCCTACTTTTCAACATTTGAAACAAAAAGTAGAAACTTTTTCATATTCCACCTTTTGAAAGAATCGTCCAAATGAACGTTCTACCCAAACTCCAATTGGAAATTGCTGATCCAAACTCATACAAACACAAACTCTAGCATACTCCCTCTTGCTCCATTGAAACATGTTGCCATCGATCCAAAGAGGGATTCCGATCTTGGAAGCTATTCTAGCTACATTTTCTTCATCCCAACAAATTAAAGGTAGATGAGGAAATCTGACCCAAATTGGGGAAGTTAATCCTCTTAATGAGGAAGGAGAAAAAAGTGGAGACCATCTATCAATTCCCACAATGTGTCCATTGACATACCATGGACCACCTTCTAAAACTTTGTCAATTGATTCCTTATCAAAGAAGGAACATAAAATCCAACCAAGTCCAAGGGAAGTAATATGAAACTTCCCAAATTGATTCCATTGACGGCAAAGTTCTCTAGTAATCACAATGACTGGTGCATTCTCATAAAATACCTTCACTACCAAAGATAACTATAGTTTATCAGCATTCATCTTCAAACAAGATTCATTGAGTTTTATTGATTCACCATCCTCAGAAAGAAATGATTCGTCTCCATTGAATGAAACTTTGATGTTCGTCTTCCTGGACCATGAGTTGATAGGATTAGAATCAGAAGCTTTTAAGGTTACATCTTCTTTGGTATTACGTCGAGTATCTGACGTGTTCTCCATCAATTTTTGCAAAAAGGAGACTCCATTCTCAACAAACTGAGATTTACCAACTGGGTTATTATATTTGTTCACAAAAAACTTCAAGCACGATGAAGACGAGGCTTCATTGTCAGCTAAATTCTTCTTATAATCACTCGGTGACTTAAAATTCTTCACAAGAGATTGAGTCAAAATCCCTTTGCCTTTTCCTAGAATAACCGGTGTCTTCTTCAAAACTTCTGATGATGGTTCATTAATCTGTAAGATATCGGATTTGAGATTTCTGGGAGAACCATCCGGGCGAATGAACTTTAGACTAGTATCGCTGGGAGGAATCCGACGATCAGCGGCGAACGCCACAGCTTCTTCCATCATCGACGATCAAACCGCCAAAAAAAAGGACTATAAAATTTTGAAATCAAACGAACTTTCTCTCACTTAATTCCTGGAGCTTCTCTCTCTATTTATGATATGCTTAAGAACATGTACAAATTAAATTTTATTAAAATGTAAGAAAAACTAGATTTAAAGATATCCAACATTTAATCCAAACAAGCAAAATTGATAGATGAAACAAAATTAATTGTTTTAATTTTTTTTTTTTAGAAAAAGGACATGAGCCAAACTATGCTCGAAAACAATAATTTATGATTTGTTTAGGTCAGCTTTTTATTGCTTTTCAATGCAATTTTTTTAGTAAAAAAATTTTAGATCAAAAAAATTTTTATACTAAAAAGAGTTATAACAAAGCCGATAACTTACCTCTTCATTAAGCATGCTCATAGTTTAGCAATGTTAAATAATAGTCAGTAGCTGGAAAAATAATCATCAAGTGATCAAACATTAAATTCATAATTTCTTAAGTAAACCTTTGTCTCCGATGACTTCGAGCTCTCTAATCCTCTGAGCAGCAGCTGCAAGTGTTTCATCACTCTTGCAAAATGCAAATCTAACAAATCTATTGTAATATTTATTTTCATTATTGGAACTGTAATGAAAGAAACCGCAACCAGGTACTGCAGCAACCCCACCTTTCTTGATCAGCTCCCTCACAAAATCCACCTACAAGCAGAGAGCTCAAATGAGAGGAAATTCTCAGAACTGCAGCACTGTTCAGTTTATGTGTATTCCATTAGCCGGTGATTTAGCTAGAAAAACTAATATAAATTGGTAACGTTCCTAAAGATGAGGTGCCGAATAAAAATATACGATATGCATTTATAAACTAGAGATGTAGATTACTTGCTCTTCTTCCACGCTTCAAAAGAGGTAAATTTACAGACAACATAATTTAGTCAAGTGTCTAGATAAAATGCTAATTGAGATTTGCTCTAACTGAACAATTAATTGAAAGCAGACAAACTAATCACAATTTTCCAATTGATAACTATGATCTATTTAAAATGAGAAAAGCACATGAGTAATTCTTTATGTTGGATACCTGCATATGCCTTCTCATGATGAGCTCGCCCTTCAAGCAAGCTCACAGAAGGAACACACCTGAGAAATCTAAGGGGAGCCGTACTCAACCGAAAATTAAAAGGAGATTCATTCGGATTAGATCAACAGGCATCACTCAACCAAGCTTGTCAGTGGGTCCTGAAGATATCTAATCAAATCAACAACTCGAAACCCGCCTAGACTCCATTATCAGTCACTCGCTTTCTCTCAGATTGATCAATCATCCTTCCATCCGAACTAAGTTACATGAAAGAGCCTACTTGGGGCCCTCAGCTTACTCTTCAGTTCTTTTATGGGGACCCAAGGCTCACGGCACATATCACCCGCGTCTCCCAACCAACGTCAACTCACCAAGTTAACTATGCTCAACATTATCTTGCAAACTTGCACAATACAAAGGACTTGACCCCTACTAAACTCGCCCAATACACACTTGACACCATCGAACTCGCCCGGATATAAATCATTAGCCTCACCTCCCGCTTAACCAAACGGAGGGTGACACGTGTCAAGGGCGTTGTGTAACGTTTTATATGTGATCTATGCGGTATTATATATATATATATTATTATGTGTGTGTGTGTGTGTGTGTGTGTGTGTGTTTCTTTGTATAGCCTTTCCGCTAGCACTCGAAATAACTATAAATAAGAGTGATGAGGAATAGTTTAGGCTCTTCTTTCTGGTGACTGATATAACAAACGCTCTGTTAGTTTTGAAATTCCCAGTTTATTGAGTATTATGCATATGTTTCTATATTTTCTTCTCTCTCCATTCTCACCAGCCCTAGCTCACCAAGTAGGCTTCTTAGTAAAGTCTGGTGCTACACATGGGTTTTCTTTATTGAGTCACAGTTAATGGGTTGTTATTATCTCAATAGTTGATTATCTATATAACACAATTATTTGAATAATAGTATTAACTATCAAACATAGACTGTTTGATTTAGTGCTATCTAGCTGAAATAATGTATAGTGTTATTTATAATGATCGCTGATAACATTTATGATGCTATGATACTATTAGGGATATGAAAAGGGTTAAATTCTGATCACATAATTTGCTTTTGCTGCTATGATTGGGCCTATCTGGATGAAAAGAAACAAACAATTTTTTTTAATAAATAATCTGTTGGTTCTCTGTTCAATGATATTAAAAGGGATTGTTCTATTTGAACCCTCAGACACTTATTTCCATTGAAAAAAATTATCAATTATTATTATTATATTCCTTACGGTCATTATATGGCCTGACATTTAGAGTGACTGTTGAATTGTGACACAAATAAAAGATAGAAAAATAAGACTAAAATATCATTTATGAAAGAAATAATTATAGATGTCATCAAACCAAACCAAAAGTTGACTAATGTCAAAATTAATAGTAGCTATCAAGTAACCAAATAGTAAGGCAAGCTAAACAATATTAAGCCAAAATATTTCATGAATGGGTGAAGAAAACATACATCAGAATGTAACCAGCTCTCTGGAAGCTCCGCAAATAGAAACAATGAACCCTGCGGTTTGAACTGTATCTGGAAACCAAGCCCAGAGAGAGTCTCAACAGCAATATCTCTCCTGGCCTCGTAGCTCTTCACCGCATAACAAGATAAAAAATGTGAATTTGCAATTTGATAGTGCGACAGCTAAGCTGGAAATAACTTCAATCATAAATAGCCAAGGCATCAAAACAGCTACTTACAGTTCTAAGGGACTTGAAGTATTCTGGGGAGCTTCTTAAAGCCGTAAGTGCAGCCTCTTGGAAAGGTGCAGGCGCTGAATCTGTTATTCGGATATGAATATTTCTTATCGCAGATGCAATATTGGATGGTGCGCAAGCCCAACCTATCCTCCAACCTGTTAAATTTGAGAAGCATAACAGACTTTATATATCACACCAAGAACAAATAGAAGAATAAGTAATAGACGAGAAGATTGAGAAAGTGATTAGACGAGGCAATAAATATGCAAGGCAATGGTCTTGCATTGATTTGGACGTTAACAGATACACTATGACACTGTCCCTTCAATTTGAGGAGAGAATGTCCTAGAAGAAACGGTAGCAAAGAACTGATTGGCTTTGAGATGTCTTTTGCTAATAGAGCATACATAAGAAGAATATCAGCCAAATGTCTCATTAAAAATGTTCTGATTGAATCATCCAATTCATGCAGAGTGAAGTGAAGTACAAGAATTACTATTAAGTAATGTAGCTTAAATATCAAGCGTCAAATAAAGGTGAGTCAATACATGTTTAGAAAGTTGTTCTCCAGTTCGTGTTAGCATTTGATAAACAACAAAGAAATAAGAAAATTAATTTTTTTAATTTTATTTATTATAAATATGAAAAATAAACTAAATATTGTTAAAAAAATTTTGAAGATGAAGTATATTTTTAAATTCATTAATTTTAAACAAAATTTGTTAAAGGAGGAATCAATTTTTTTTTTAAATTCTCATTACTAGGTTATCTTAAAGCTTCAGCCTTCAGATGAATCTAAAGTTTATTTTTTCAAAGGTCTCTTTGGATGGCATAAAGATCAAAGTTTGTCAATCATCTTTGCACAACACATAAGCCTCCTAGCCTTTAAATTAATGAGATGACATAATCTCTTTGTCGGCTTTCGATTTATGCACTTCAACATTTATTGATTTAATCATATTTTAATGTTATTTTGCAACCATATTGATTGAAATCAGTACAACAAGAACATCAAGCCTTTATCCCACTACATCAGGTCGGCTACAAGAATCGTTTCTCCCCATTGTGTTCTATTGAAAGTCAAATTCTCATTTAAATATAATAAAGAAAGGTTATCTCTAATATTTTCTAAATAAGTCATTTTAGGTCTATCTCTACTTTTCTTAACATAGGACAAATCTAATATATCTACTCTCCTAACAGGGTCATCAGAAGGCCACCGTTTTACATATTGATCGAAATCAATGTGAGCAAGATATTTATAAATGTCTTATTTATAAATGTGTTATAAGATATGAAAAGTTTATATAGCACATCTTTTATTTTAAAGCAAAAAAAAAAAAATCCAAAATAGTCGATCAATTCTAATATTCTGATAGGAAGTGGTACAATGTCCTCAAAATCAGCAAACGGTAATAAAAAATTATGAAGAAAAACACACCACTACTATTTTTATTGCAAGATATATGAAAGAAAATAGCAAGATACAATTGGATCTTCAATTAGAGAAGAAGATCCAGGTCTCCCAAATCCCTAGCCGCCAGTTAGAGCCCAAATAACCTAAGACTACTCTGAACTCAGAAAACAAGACAAAAAAAGACAAATCCTAGGTAAACACTACTTAAAGCATAACCATAATAATACAATTCCCAAAGAACACCCTTCATATTAATTTTCCCTCTTCCCCCCTCTTTTGAAATTGCCCTCTAGGCCCCACTACAAGAAGGAGGCAGGCAACAAAAGTTCTGCCTAAAAATAGAAGGAACTATGCCGCCTCAATAGAGCTGGTTCAGGTTGACCGACTAGCCAGTCTAACAATACCCCACTTTCAAAAACCTATCTTATCCGCAAGGTGGAAAGACAACTCCTTCCTCAATTTACTCATCATCAAAACCGATGAGAACTAGAAAAGATCGATCCTTACATCTGGGCCACAGTATATACCTCTCCTCAAATCTTAAATAGAGCCCCTTCGTCCTCTTCTCCTATAACTCCGTCTCTGTGAGATCTCCATCTCTGTGAGATTCTTAAAGTTATTCTGAAGTCTTTCTCCTCCAATCTTCTCCTTCGGGTCTCCTAAAGAGTACCCAGTGTCGGCTACTTGGGTGCTAAAAAGGTGGTGGTCATCATGTACGAATCTCTTGAGTTTTTGCCTCTAGTCCCCTCTCCAGGTACCTCTGATCCTCCACTAACTGAGCTAGCTCTATGGTCTCTCCCAAATCGTGAGGCCTCATTTACTCTAATTGATGCTCGAATATCTGATTTGAGTCATTTCATAAAGTTCCCATCCAGTACATTCTTCAAAGTCGGTCCAGTTGGTTGGCCAGATGCTCAAACTGCTCATGGTGTTCCACCACCGTCCCCCCAATTCTACCATCATCCTTCTCCAATTGTACCCAAATTTTTCATCACATGCCCACCGTCTCCCTTCAAATTCAGCACCTTTTCGATCATATTTACTCCCCTCCTTTCAAATTCAGCACCTCTTCTGTCATAATCAAGCCATTGCCTTTCAAATTCAACATCTCTACTTTAAAATTCAACACCCCTATGCTCATGCCCAACCCCTTCACACCTCTCTGCATGCCATCAACCCGACTCCTCCCTAGAAATATGTCCGAGGGGACGCATTCTCTCTTCTCCCTCCACAATATTTTCCCCCTGATCTTCCCTTTGCCTTATCTGATTAAGGTGTTCCCCACTTCCTTGGCAATCAATGACTTCCCTCACCTCTAACGTTGTCGTTTTGGTTTGGCTCTCGAGCATCTTCTTCAGCATCTCTTCTATGATGGAAAATTTCAAATTGATCTTCTCATGGATGGATGAAATTTGACTTTTGAAATATGAAACTTGAGTTCAGAGATCTGAAATTTTAGATTTCAATTGTTTGATTGTCCCCTCCAACACTTTTACCTTTTTCTCTGCCATGGGTACCCGGATCCAACTCCAAACAGTAAAAACAGCCAAAAACCAATGGTTATGATCTTCAAACAGTAAAAAACAAAAAGCAAGATCGAAGAGAAAATGCAGCAAAAATTAGCCAGACTTCAATTTTCGCCTAAGAAATTTCTCTGATACAAATTTGATAGGAGGTGGATACAATTTCCTCGAAATCAACAAACGGCAATAAAAAAATTAAAAAGAACACACCACTATTATTTTTATTGCAAGATATATGAAAGAAAATAGCAAGACATAATTGGATCTTCAATTGGAGAGGAAGACATGACTCTCCCAAATCCCTAGCCACCAACAAGAGCCCAAATAACCTAAGATTACTCTAAACTCAGCAAACAAGACAAAAAAAAAATCAAACCCTAGGTAAACACTATCTAAAGCATACCCAAAATCTTCGTTTAAAAAATCGTGTGAGGTGGGCGCCTCGAGGCGCGCCACTAATTGAGGCACATCTTGGACGAACTGAGGCTTAAGCCTCAACTGATCGGACAAACCTTGCGCTTTTTTCACTAAGGCGTGCGCCTCAAGGCGTGAGGCGCTGAAGCGAAACGAGGCAGCGCCTCCATTCAACTTTTTTTATTTTTTATTTTTTTTGCCAATGCGCGTGAGTCGAACACGCTTATTAAGCTTAGGGCTTCTGCTTAGAAACACTTATGCCGCTTTAACTCTCCCGTTCTTTCTCATTCCTCGTTCTCTATCGTTCTGCTTCCGCCGACTTTAATGTGCCTCTCCAACAACACTTCGACTTCGACGTGCCTCTCCGACAGCAGCTTTGACTTCGACGTGCCTCTCCGACTCTGACTCTGACGTACCTCTCCGGCTCTGACTCTAACATGCCAAGGAAATAGTCGTCTTTTACATTTTCTTTATCAATTGCTTCCCTTAGCTCGTTCTTATTGTTACTATTAGAAAATTTACATATGTGACTCTGAATGAAGTATTTTATGAACTTTCTAAATTTTTATTTATAAGTTTTTTTAAGTAACTGAATGGTGGCGTATTATTTGTAGGTGATGTTTTAGCTAACCTACCTATTTCTTGTCTTAATCAGTGACTTAGAAAATTTTAGTTTTAGCTAATAAGTGTAGATGTAACTTATAATTTGGGCATACAAACATAGGGTTCTAAGTGAACTAATGAGATTGACGATTAATTTTAGGTTAGGAATAAGTTTTTAAAAGCTTGAAGATTAAATGATTCAAATTTGAGCATAACCTAACTTTATTTTTAATTTTATCTATGAATCAAATTGATATTTTTAATTTTATCTATGAGTCTCCTACAAAATTTAAGAGAAATTCTCCATCCATATGCATTATTTTCATTAAAATATTCAATATAAAATATGTTTGAATTGACTTTATATCATAAATTATCAATGTCTTAGATTTGTTTTCATCTCTTCTTTAGAATATCACATCCAAAAATTATTTGCATGTTATCTAAACAATCACATTGACTTTATGCTTGAAGCTATAATTGGAGATAAAATTATGTCCAGAACTGATTTTACTCCAAATACAACTTTGATTCTACTTATACATCTTTCCGTACATAATACAGTAATATATTAATGTGTAACTTTCATATATCTTTCTATATATCCAACTTTGATTTTGCTTTTTCCATTCACCTTCCTTAATGTTCCGTTATCTCTGCAAATAAAGAGTAAAGAGGATAAATCAATAATAAGTTATTGTGCCATTAAAATCTAAAAAAAAAAGAGTTGTAAATCTAAGATCTTTTATATGTCATCAATTAAACAACATGAAATTTGTAAATTTTTTCATACAAAAAAATTATTGTGTCATCAATTTATAATTAAATTTGTAAATTTTTAATTTGATGTTAATTATTTATTTCTACAAATTATTAATATGACTACTAGCACAAGGAGGCATCGAAATATGGCACTCAAGTTGAAGTGTCAGGCGAAGGTGTGAAGAAGGGATATGTTTACATAAAATGTAATTTCTACGAGAAGCACATAATAGGGGGTGTCAAGAGGTTGAAGGATCACCTAGCCTGCATGCATGTCACTATGGGATCGTGTGTAAAAGTACATGATGAAGTAAAAAAGTAATGTATAAATTACTTAAAGAAGTTTGTCACCACGAAAGAGATCACACAAAAAAATATGAAAGAGATGATAAGAATCATTTTTCTAAAATTAGTAGATGTTTCAATTTTTATAAAG